CTTCCGAGAGGGAGGTGGGAGGGAGAGATGGGGAGGGAGTGGGAGAGATCAACATGAAGTGCACGTGCACGTGCTCCATATTATGAATGCAATCACATCTGGGTGAAAGGGTGATGAGCGGGGGAGGGGAGATGATGAGAGACTGAAGTGGACTGCAGAGGGGGACAGACAGATGGCAGGGAAAGTGTGACGGAGGGAGCAGCGAAGGAGTTGTCAGAACGAGGTGAAGGAAACCGTAGAGTTAACCTTCACATCTACAACCTTGCACTGCAAAGCCTCGTGCTAAATGCTAATAAGCAGTAGCTTGTCAGAAATGTGAGGGAAAAAAACCTGTAAATGGGTCAAAGCTGGTAAAAAAGCTAATTTCCCCCAGATAAGAAAGTGTGTTGCATCCGTCAGAATAGAAAGAACTGTGCCAAAGAGGCCACTGGAACAGGCACAAATACACTTTAGTAATAATTCATCCCTCATCCATATAAACATCCATCTATGAAGTGGCTTTCATGATGCATCCAATACATAAAAGCCTTTCTATGAACTGTAAACACAGAAAGATGTCATCAAAGAAACAACTGGCTGCAAACGGGGGTCGATGAGCTCTTTTTGGGGTTGAAATTAATTTGGAGATGCAGAACGTACAAGCATTTAAGCTGATCTGGAGTAACTAGTTCTTATTAGAACATGTTGAATGAATTAGCAGGTGTTCTGAGTGGGAACACACAAGCATGTTGTTTAGATCAGAAAAGCAACTGAGTAGTGAGCTTGAGAAACAAAGAAAAGGAATGAAGGTTAAGAGAAGAGGCAGAATCATGTTGGAATAAGTGCTCTATAGCATGGAATACTTTCTGGGACAAACCAAGAGGAAGAAGGTTTACTGACCTGGAGTCAGCTCTTTCCAGAATGCGTTCGGCCTGATCGCCGATGACTTCCTGACGCAGATAGTACAGCATCCTCACCCTCAGCAGCACCCTGCAAAATAAAGTCATGCTGGTTCAAATGTTGTTCAACACAGAAACTAAAACAACAATTGTTTTAATGACAACTTAATCAAAAATAAACACATTTTCTGAGGTAATGCGTTAAAGATTAACTGTGAAAACCATCAGAATCTTTTAAAGATTATTTTCAGATTTCTTATGCTCTCTGAGGTTATTCTGACCCTTGAAGATCCTCTAGTATAGATTTGATCATGATCTAATCCTCTAAGAAATGGGTTTGTAAAAATAAGAATACAGCGGTATACTGCTGCATCTGTGCAGTCTGCAGGAGCACTGAACACATTTGAGATGGAAAATTTCCTATAACTCATTACTGCATTTCAGGTTTTTTTTCTTTACAACTGCTTTCTAAGGGACGGTCATCTTCTGTTGATATCAATTACAGATGTTGGCGGTCACAGTGTGTCCTTCAGTGAAATGAATCACTTCAGTCATGGCTCAACAGTGACAGTCACATCTGAACTTGTGACATTGGAAAAGCTGCTATCTGGGAGATCTGCTTCACTGTAAACATTTGTAACCAGGATTTAATGCCAATAGCTGTGTTTGGGGCAGAAAACAGAGGGAAAGAGGGTTAGGGGGGTAAATGGGAGGAACAGAGGGGGGAAGAATTGAAAGGACAGAGCGGTGCTGGAGGGAACAGTAAGTTTGGAGAGGCAGCGAAGACGGGGGAAGGGTATGAAGACTGTCACTTGCAACACATTCTGCACTGTGTGTGTGTGTGTGTGTGTGTGTGTGTGTGTGTGTATGTGTATGTGTATGTGTGTGTGTGTGTGTGTGTGTGTGTGTGTGTGTGTGTGTGTGTGTGTGTGTGTGTGTGTGTGTGTGTGTGTGTGCGCGCGCGCATATCAATGGCATCGAACGTTGCCGTGTATGTGTGTCTGTTGGCAGGCTGTGTGAGCTCATCCATCAATGTGCCAGGCCTGATTAGCCACACAACGCTGTGCTCCAGCCTAGCAGATGGCACCACATAATCACCCCCAAGTGTGTGTGTGTGTGTATACACTTCTTTCACCCACTTCCAACAGGTCTGCCTGCCTAGCACCTGGCCTGGCCCACGGCCAGACGCACACAAACAAACAAACTTCCAAGTCAAGAAGGAAAAAAAAAATCTTAGAATTTAAGCATATCTCCCTGACAACAGGAGAGAGAGAGAGCTGAGCACTCAACAAACCTGTGTGTGTGTGTGTGTGTGTGTGTGTGTGTGTGTGTGTGTGTGCGCGTGTGTGTGTGTGTGTGTGGGA